ACAGCCTTTTTTGTTTGATGTCTTTCTTGGCACTATCTCACTTTACATTTGGCTTAGTTGTAAAAGTATAAAATGGTAGTTATTACTAATTGATAAACACCCAGGATATTGATAATGTAGCGATGAATTGTATATTATCAGTATAATGTGTCAAGGTGAGGAGTCTTGGTGGTGAACATTGGTAGTATACTTCAGTGAGATAGCACTATTCTTCCATTCCGCACTATCACAGGGTGGCTTGGCTTACGTTAATGAAGCTCACTCTCTACAACACGTGAACACAACTTACCTACATACAGATATCGTCCTTAAGTTGTCAAAACAAACCAATAAAAAAGCTAGATGGATAGCATACTTACATCTCGAAAATGTTCACATAGCTCTATATTGTTAACAAATAAATCATGAAAGTGAGCCCACTGTAAATGTTGTCACATGTATTCTGATGTGAAGGGAATGGTGAATGTTCAACAGAAGGTTTGTAAGGCGGCAATATAATACGCTGAAAGAGTGCAAAAAACCTCACATCGAAGTCATTAGGTCTGGCAACCATATCTGTTGATACTGACACTGGACAATAGGTCAGACGAATTGCGAACTACATTCCGTGCATTAGTGAGTTTTTGTTTGCTTTAATTAGTGTTTCTTTAAAGCGTGCGGAAATCTAATTAAAAACGTTTTAATTATGCATTATTTGGTGTTTTGTCGGGTTTGACACGCGCTGTTGTTTCCTGGAATGAATCTGTGTTACACGCGTCAGAGTAACGGTATCAGTGAAGTCACGTGGGAATAGAGTGATGTTATGATAGGATATGATAACCTAGGACTACGTAAATAGCTTGTCAAAGATATAATATAATATAAATACGTAAAGTAAAAACCAACACGTTAAACCGAAATACAGATTATCTTGGGACCATTTTGATTGCTTTGACTTCTATTGGTCATTCAGGGTCCACGAAGGTCATCTCTCATTACCTGAGAACCATTTTGATAGTTTTGACGGCTATTTGTCATCAAGGATCCTGGTATTTAACCTCTGATGATCTGAGAACCATTTTGATAGTTCCGACTGTCTGTTGTCATCAAGGATCCTGGTATTTAACCTCTGATGACCTGAGAACCATTTTGATAGTTCTGACTGTCTGTTGTCATCAAGGATCCTGGTATTTAACCTCTGATGGTCTGGGAACTATTTTGATAGTTTTGACGGCTATTTGTCATCAAGGTTCCTGGTATTTAACCTCTGATGACCTGAGAACCATTTTGATAGTTTTGACTGTCTGTTGTCATCAAGGATCCTGGTATTTAACCTCTGATGGTCTGGGAACTATTTTGATAGTTTTGACGGCTATTTGTCATCAAGGATCCTGGTATTTAACCTCTGATGATCTGAGAACCATTTTGATAGTTCCGACTGTCTGTTGTCATCAAGGATCCTGGTATTTAACCTCTGATGACCTGAGAACCATTTTGATAGTTTTGACGGCTATTTGTCATCAAGGTTCCTGGTATTTAACCTCTGATGGTCTGGGAACTATTTTGATAGTTTTGACGGCTATTTGTCATCAAGGTTCCTGGTATTTAACCTCTGATGGTCTGGGAACTATTTTGATAGTTTTGACTGTCTGTTGTCATCAAGGATCCTGGTATTTAACCTCTGATGACCTGAGAACCATTTTGATAGTTCTGACTGTCTGTTGTCATCAAGGATCCTGGTGGGTTTTACCTCCGCTGACGGAATCTCTTTCCCAGAAATGTAATCACCACTCGCGTGAAAACAACCAGTTGTAGAGCAGGCGTTTAGAATATTGACGGCAAACAATGATTGATACTTCTTTACAGGACATGCTGTTTAACTATCTCGTAAATTAAAGCAGCAATTTAATTGAAGACGTCTCACAGCTAGCTGTATGACAAGGTAATTACTCGCTGATTGGAAACTACAATGCTTGGATGACAGATAAGCTAGTTACTTTGTTTTGTGAATGGCTTTAATTTAGTTAAAATCATGTTTACAAAACCGATTCATATAACGTTGTCTTTTTCAAAATCGGTATGAATAACTGGGAACCATCAAAGCGAAAAATATGAATAATTAAGGAGGAAAAAGCGACTTTATTAAAACCAATGCGGAAGGAATGTCGATTAAATGTAATAAACGATACTTTAAACATCAGCACACAGTTAAAACATATATTTGGTTGTACAGTGTTTAGTTCTTAAGAAGTATTTGGTATTGAAAATTGATATTAATTAGTTTGTCTTGTTAGAAAATCTGAAATACCTGGACGATACATTAAAGGGAACGTTGTGTTTATGCATAGAGTGGAGATTAGATCCTGAGTTTGGGTTTGACTGAAGGCGAAGTCGAGTGTTAAAACCATTCATTCATGATCTAATTTCCAGTATATGGTTAAAGAGTAATAAATCGGAATAGCTAGGTCAACAATGTGATTCTCGACACATTTTCGTCCTCATATTTCGATGACACATTTGAGCATGTCGTTATCATAAATTTCTCTAAAGTGGAGGTCGATCACCGCCACAACAGGAAAAATGGCCGCCATAATTTGGCTAGAATCAAAATAATTGTCATGACAACGTCTTGGCAATTTATGAGTATATCGGAGATAGATCATGAAAATCATCCAGTACAACATTGTGTTACATAACCTTTGATTTGGAATTTGAATAAGAATGGACACACGTTGTCGTTTTCGTGTTATATGTAGGTCTATGTCTAGAAAATGTTACAACGTAATGAACTCCTTCGTTTGTACTTCTGTAACATAAACGACTATTTCTGATTATCTTTATCAACTCAAAAGATAGACACACGTGTTTACTTTGTTTAGTGTTTTACGTAGAGAAACTTGTTACATGTTCATACATCTACGTCTCTGTTCGTAGTGTCTTTACTGATAACAACATGTTATATACGTCTCTGATTGTAGTGTCTTAACTGAAGACGACACGTTATATACGTCTCTGTTCATAGTGTCTGAACTGAGGACGTCATGTTATATACGTCTCTGTTCGTAGTGTCTTAACTGAGGACGTCATGTTATATACGTCTCTGTTCATAGTGTCTTAACTGAGGACGTCATGTTATATACGTCTCTGTTCGTAGTGTCTTAACTGAGGACGTCATGTTATATACGTCTCTGTTCGTAGTGTCTTAACTGAGGACGTCATGTTATATACGTCTCTGATTGTAGTGTCTAAACTGAGGACGACACGTTATATACGTCTCTGTTCGTAGTGTCTTACTGGGGACGTCATGTTATATACATCTCTGTTCATAGTGTCTTTACTTGGAACGAAATTATTTTAATTTCTGTGTCCAAAGAGTCTTCACTGAGAGTGACAATTTTACAAACATATGCTTCTCCTCTAGGAGGTCGGCTATACACGTGTGCTGTTTCTAGTTAATTGTTTTTCCTGCAGGCAGCGATTTTTATACAGTTGGTAGTTGTTCTAACGGTTTGACAGAATAAGACTCCTGAAGAAGGAGAGATGATAACAATAGATATATGCTAGTGTTACCAGGCGTGTATACATTGTGTTGATAATACTATTTGTCTAAACCTCGATATCGGGATATTCTATGTATTATTTATTTCTTTTATTTCCTTTTTTCATTATAGTGAATGCTATCTTTGAATTACACCATGTAAGCGTGCAGACGCAAACGAACCTGTAATGATGCCGAATAACCTTGGTGTAACCTTGGAACTCGACAGCTACACTAGTTAATAGCATGTATTAAAATAAATAAAATGATAAAAGCTAAGGCGAACAGACAATACTATTACTGTATTCTTAATACGACAGTTCTGCATGGTTCATGTGTTTTTTATATTGCTCTATGTTTCATTATTCAAACTAACGGTCTGTCACACGCGTGAAGTGACTATTCAAGCATCTCTTCTACAGCATTGAAACACCGACTCTGAAAATAAACATTATATCAACTACCGGGCATTTATCTCAATGTGTGTTGGTTTTAGAACCTATATTATTCATGATTTCGATCTTTCCGGCGGAATTATTCATCGTTTGTATCATCAGAGCAGAACGTGAAACCATAGCGATACGTTGAAACGTCAGAAGTTAAAAGAATTGTAATGGCGATGAAATATAGACTAACAATCAGATACCAAATGATGCATATATTGTCATAGTTGTAGAAAGTATCACAATAACGATACAGTTTTTTATAAGCGCGAATTGTCTGACTTTGTCCTCTCGGTCTATCCTATAAACATTGGATGTAAACGATGTGTATTAAAAAACTAATGCTTCGTACGGCACACATACTGGCGCGCACACATACACACACAGATATGCACGTATTTTTATAAAAAAAAATCCTAGATGCACGCCTAAAAATCGGGGATATTTTGATAAAAGATTGCATAAATTATGCAGGACTATAACGACAATATAATAATGGACATCAATATACCTAACATGTTTAAGATAGCCAAGCTTTTACCAAAGATAGGCATCAGTCGGTAACGGAGCGCGACGACATAACATGAGCTGGAACTCCGACGTGCGTAACTACCTTCCGTGTTTAAAATTGACCCACTGACCTTTGTAAAGATATTTTGAGGACAGTGCTAAATCACCGTCTTTCCTTCCTCAACCTCAAAATATAATCTTTAATACTTGTTGAAGTACTGATTATTTCCAATGCTTTTTTAAAATCATAACTTTATACATTTCTACAAAAACACAGATATTTTTTTCAGACTTTGTATATTGAAAATACATTTTTCATATTTCATTCAAGGAGCATTTCTTCCTACAACACTTTTCCCCAGCCCTGTCCCTCACAACAAGTCATGTCCGTCACATCAGATTTGATAACACTATTGAAGTTAACGAAGATGAAGTACGTTCTTAATACTTTTAAATGTGAAATAGGGTTTAAAAAACATCATTATGATAGCGTGTCGTTGAATTTCTTACAGCAAACTAACAACACTTACCTTTGAGTCTGTGTGGATATCGTTTTTTATATATCCTAGTACGGGAATTCCAAGCGGTTCCGTCAGAAGAGTTAGGGCATTTACAGTTTCTTTAGAACCCACCACTATAAAAGCAATTGTGTTATTGCTTTTTAACACGGAACAGATTCCCTTTAAGCTGTCGTATAGATTGTTCATTGAAGGAATCGTCACACCTTGTAAGATACCACCGTCTGACAAATCCTGGTGTTCCTTTAGAGAGTTGTTAAATATGTTGCTAAAATGTACGAAATCTGGTTCCTCAAAAACGGCGCCAATACTTACACTGTGTTGGGTGATGGACGCGCCAGGAAATGTAACAAATAGGCTCGCAAGTCCATGTAGAATTAAATAAATCTTCATTTTAGTTTATCCATTGGTCGAAATACGGCACATTCTACAAAAAACACGTGATCTTAATTCTCCGGTTTTGGACAAAACCTTTACACACATCACTCCTCAACAACTGTCGTGAAAACTAAAAACATAACTGGTAATCCTTATCCAATGTCTATCCCATCTTTATAGGAAACTTTCGCACTCGCTGGAATTATTTTTTTCTGTTTAGCGCCTTGTTTTAAAATCACTATAATATACACTCTGGCATCCGTGATGGAGCTCGCATTCTTTTGTTTCGCATTGCATAAGCTGTATTGTCCTGCTCCTGAAGATGTTTAATGGAAGCGGAAACATTTTTGACCGTCTCGTTCAGACACCTTAATGTTTGAAGATAAGAACACACAGCGCATATACTATTTGAGACGCTGCGATGACAAACGTGCGTTTCTCACAATGATCGGTCACACGATCTTCCATCATGGTCAAAGACGAAGCGTACGTATTCGTTTGTCATCATTTGGCGGTAATTCCATTTTCTTTCAGTTACACATTTTCCCGTTGGGAATAGGTAATATTTGTGATCCTGTGATAAGGTTATATTCAGGAATTGGAGTAGCATCGTGTGATGGATTGGCCACACTCTCCACACTGTGCCCGTGTCGAGCAGGGCCTTACGTGAGACTGGAGCATTAGAAAATCAATCCTTTGATAGCTAGGCTAGGGATCTGTGTTCGTCAAATCAAAGCCTTTGCTTCTATTCACGTATCTAATGAAGAGTCCCCAAATACACCTTAAACATGGCAACCAAAACAAAGGACTAATAATTAAACTGAGTTTGATAAGTGAACCCTATTTTGGCGGAGTCAGTGACACTGGTGTTTGTGTACAATGTTGATATAGCGTTGACTACTGTAACAGCTGACAATTTAAGGTCTCATCTGCTTGTATTGTTGTTTGATTGCCAGACCTTGGCTTGCTATGCATGCATTGATCACTTCAATGTAATTGACAATTGACAATTTCAAATATCATTCTGGTGCTTTGAACCACCTGTTCGTTATCTCTGACTTTGAGGAGTTAATTATAGCATCGATAAGTACGCATATTCTTAAAATGTAATACATCAATAATAGGGACGTGGAAATTGCATCTCAATAACATCCTTATCAAGTCCACGAGGACCTTTACAATTACTTGCACGCTACAATTTTCAGTAACGTCTGTGCTCTAAAACTTCTGAATTAAATTCCATTTTTAATTAAGACTTAAATCATCCACCTTTCTAGCTTGGGCACACCCTTAAAACAACACAGAGCGAGGCGTTACTACCGAAGCCAGGAAATGAAGATATGAAAACCCCATTTTAGCCGCCTACTTTAATCATATAATGAACACATATCGAGACCAAATTTACTCACTACCTGTAGGGCTTATGAAAATGAACACTTCAGATTTACACACAGCAATAGGATACAGCGAACACTAAATAGAGAAAAGTCGACTGAGCAGAATCAAAGTTGATCGAAATACGGAGAGAAACATTAATCAACTTTATTGAATGTCAAGCACATGGACATACAAAATGAACGACGGGGCCCTGTGTTGTTATACACTTTTCTTGATTTCGCTCCTCATGAAAAAAGGACAGGAAACATGGTGTTCTTTTAAGTGTACGAGAAGTTTGCTGAAAAATCTTGTCTAGTATACCTCCAAATCTAAAATTTACATTTCTGTCGTTCGCTTTGGATTTGCCTGAGTCGTCTCGAAGGTTTCAAAACTGAGGCCTTTAGGAACGTCTATGAGTCCTAGAAGGACGAAACAGCTGTATGGTGCAGTCCATTTATTCTTTGGCACAACTATAGCAAATTCTCAATCTATATTAAAAATGTGCTATTCATTAGCGTCTTTTGTGAAAGCTTCCGAAACTTAACACGGATTATGTTAAGCAGGACTCATTCTCACTATTTTACATTCGAAAATCGTAACAAAAATGCTCGATCGTCCATTTCACATTTGACATTTCAACTCGACGTATTGTAGGCTTTAAATAAAACTTTGTGATTATCCCTGTATGCTCAATTCTGAAGATTCTTTGTCAGAAAATCGGACGTAGATGTACATTAGAAAAGTTGTTTTAGTAATTGTATGGAAGAACCATTACAGCTATATATCTATAATGACATAGTGATAACCATTGACTCCTTTTTTGGGTTAGATATTAACTTTCAACCTATTTCAATTTTGTCGGCCAATCGACTACTTTTTTCAGTGAGTTATTGACCAATCTACGTCGAAAATGTTGAGTTTCCTTGTCCGGCATTTGCTGTGCTATCATATACGATCGTCTAAACTGAAGTGCGGTGTAATATTTCACTGCGCTGTTTCCAAAGAATGCTAATATTTTTGATTTCGTAGTTAAATTCTCGTCAGTCATCCATTTCTTCCTGCTTACAAGTAGCAAATTGCTATTTTTATTTCCTTTCAATTTATCAAAACATGGCAGTTAATATGAAAGGCGTCCACTGCAGTGGCATCACAAGTATATGGAATGCATATTAATAGTGAAAGTGTATCATCATTTAATTGTTTATTACTGGTAAATGTGGTTTCTCTAGCTATTCCTATTGTCACGAGAAGGATATGACATTGCTCAGATTTTGTTCGTATTTTCATGATGCGAGTTGTCAAGGAAGTTGAAAACATATGTGTATGCTTAGACCACCTTTTCCAAGATATCAGTTTTCATCCGTGTCTTTGTTTATTCTTGTTAATTTTGATATTCTGTTGATTTCAATTATATTCCTATGTGTTTATTGTTTCTGTCAGACATCATACTTTGAACACTTGTCAGGAAGGATGATATTTACGGAACCACAATTGGCTCATTTCTTTTCCGACTAAATTTAGAATGTCAAACTTTACAGTTTAATCAACTCAGAAATATGGTATTTATTTGATCAACAAGTATGGTGGAAACGTTTAATTTGTACATGTGTAAACGGTTTCGTATAGAAAATTAAAAATAGAAAAAACCAGCAGAAAATTTGAAACCAATCTGTCAACAATGATACTGTACTGTGTAGGCGATAGTGTTGCTCATGTCTAGGTAGAACATGAGAAAGTGTGTCATTCCTGTGTACATATGCAGGCAGGAAAAAATCCAGCCTGTCAAAGCTGAATGAACATATATAAATAACATATATGTTTATTTGGTTTTATAGTGCGAACGTCTTTTAATATCTATGGCCATGAGTGCATGTAATGAGTGTGTGTTTTCAGGACACCCAGCAGGACAAATCATCTGGTCCCATTATAGTGACAACGGGCAAACCTGCTGATCATTAAGCAGGACAACAGTAACTGCTGTAAGGGGTCAGGGGACAGAAACCAAAGATGACATCACAGAATGGAATACTGCATTAGAGGTCAAAATTGAGGCAGTGCCAAAGAAAGACGTGTTCAAACATAGTTCGGAGTAACGATTAAATCCCAGATTTAGTCACCTCTTCCCGTCATGGAAAAAAGGACAGAAGTTACAGTTTTTATGCCTCACAAACATTTAATAAAGAATTGTAGAGAGCGTGTGAAACACGTGAGAAAATGTGCCATCCTTTGTATACGTATAAACTGAAAAATATCTTAAAACGTAGAGAAAATGCAGTATTCATGTGTGTAGTGATTTGAAAATTACGCTATCGTGCCGTCCATGTATGTACATATAGAGGGGTTAAGAAATTATGTCCTCCCTTTTATGCACGTATGTCAAGCATCAACCATGTGTACATTTGAGATGACAGAGAAATTGTTTCGATCAGGCATTGCAGGAAATGAATGATATGTGCCATTTCCACTGCTTTCTGTAACCACTCGGAGGTATTAGTAGAAATTAACTAGCTGTACCATAACATATTTTGCCATAGATGAATTTTTCCTTGTCGTTGATATGGATATATATATATATTATTTACAGACTATAACAAAAGACAGATGACCTGATTCTTTGTGTTACATGTAGGCAAAACAAAACCCGCGTTAATTTCATGACTTGTCATGATGTTCTACATTTAGAATGTGGAGAGGAATATCACAGATAACGCTGGCATATTCTACGGATCCTTTCAATTCAAACTCCTTAATGAAATTGTGGAATTATTCTTGTTTCACAGACCAGTCAAGTTTTAAGTCTTTTGATTAAGATCAAAGCAACTTACAACAGAAGAAGCCAATTACATGTCATCTTCTCTTTTTTGTTCATCACATTACTAACTGATTACACTAAGCTCTGGTGTTGCATGTGATTTAGTCTTCACAACGATTGCATGTTTTGTAAATTTTCATAATGGAGGATCCTCGCACACTTCATGTGATAACAGCTGTATAAACATCACCTCGTGATTTTGTGTGAGGTTAAATGGTCAGTGTCTTAAATAAATCATTGGCGAGGCACTTTTGTCTCTCTGTCCCGGGCCAAAATACAGCTTTATATCTTATGACACTGACCATGTATTCTATCTATCCCGCAACATTGGTTGAAAATCAGACTGTTGTGACTTTTGTTTTTCACTCTTTGATTACCTATCGTTGACGTTACGCCGAATTTTGCCAGATGACGGACGTAAAAGTAATTACTCCGCAAGGAAATATTATTTCCAAACTTAATCTGATATAACACTGATTTTATTAATTTTTATAACATGTGAAATCACTCATTTCATCAACTTTTCATATTTCTAAACGTAAAGTCTCTTATGGTTTCCCGGTGTTATTCGGAGTTAGATATGTTAGATTATCGTTTGTATTCCTGATGATTCCGTTGAATTATTATGAAGTGATAAGTATACCATATCTATTTGTTTGGTTCGCATTTTGAGAACGTCACATTACTCCAGTTTTTTTTTTTTTTTTTTTTTTGTTTTTTTTTTTTTGACAGATTTCGTCACCCAGCATACGTATACACGTCCATAACGCATTGAGGATTCCAGGGGAAAAAATCCGCTGTTCATCAATCTTGAGAATGATGTACG